AAAGTTTGTTTTCCTCCCCGGCGCCGCTGAGATCGACAAAGAAGGCGGTCCGCGTGCGACCACGCTAACTGGGGTGGGAATATCTGTCGACGTGTAACACACCCGTTGAGGCACGCGGGCTTTTTGCCCGCTCACCTCGATCTCTCATTAGTCAGCTTCGGGTGCTCCAGCGGAGGGAGGAGAGGAGGAGGAAAAAGGGGCGGGGGGCGGTGACCGTCTGCAGCCCCTTTGTTCGGGCGGGCGGGAGAAGCGCGATTGCACAAGGCGCGCGTCTTTGTGAGGACTGCCGGGCGGTTATCCGGTAAGTGGGTTTCCAGGATGTTGGGGAAGCCCTCATGGGATGGGATGGGATGGGATGGGATGGGGTAGGGGGAGTTCTGCCTTCCCGAAGCAACGCGGTCCCTCTGCAGTGAGCCCAGTCCCGCTGCGCGTCGAGACGGCGGAGGGGCTCTGCCGCTAACAGGGAACTCCCGGGGAGGGGAATGGAAGAGTGGGGGTCACGTTGGGGTTTCTTGAGAGTTGGAGGAGCAGCAGCCCCCACAGGATCGGGTTCATGGCCTTTCCCTCATTCTCGGGTTTCGGGGTGGTTGCGCTCTCCGAAAAGGAGGAGGATTTAAAAGTCGATTCTCCCGTTATGCGTTGGAAGACTTTGATTTCTTTGTGCGAGACAGTAATGCTATTCTTCGAAATGCATCGTTTCGAGCCGTGATCGCAGTGCCGTTCCTCTGCCCGCGATCGTGCTCTTGGGCTCCCGATTGTACAAACGCGACCCCCCCCCCTCATTTTGCTCCGGACCCTGGTGCCATCCTCCCCCCACCCCTGATTCAAATCACAAACATCCTTAACGCCAAGCTTATTTTAATCATTTCTTGTTCCCCTGGGAACAAAATCAATTTGGGGCAAGATAAAAAAAAAAAGAGAGAGAGAGAGAGAGAGAGAGAGAGAGAGAGTAACGTTTAATTGGAGAGGGGGCAGAATGATCGACCTGGGGCTTCAGAGCTAGCAGTTAAATATTAAAGTGCTTCACGTTTTATGAAGCAGATGTTTACCCCAGTTTGGTAGGAAGTGTCCAGTTGGCAGTCAGTACTTGAAATTATGTACAATAATGGGTGAGAGGAGGCTGGACATAATGTCCAAGATTATACCCACATGGGATTCGGTACATCTGGTTGAGGTAGAGTGCCTAGGAAAGTCCACCCCTCACTTACTTGGCAGAATCGTGCTGTCTCTTTTCTTGGGCAGGAGTCTAAGCCAATCGGTTCTGTGATGTTCCTTGGCTCCAGGCACATGGCTGGTGTTGACCATTTTTTTTTATCCTGGGCAGCTTCTTGCTCCCCCCTCCTTTGAATTTTAATAGTATTCCTATTCTTCAGATGCCTTGAGTTCTGAAGAAGAGTGCCCCTTTGTGCAGGCTAAGGACTCTGAACACTGAAGGGTAAGGTGTGTGGAGAGTATCTGGTTCTGGAGAGTTGCACAAATTAGTATTTCTGGAGGTGTTAAACTGACTGTGTAATTGGTATTTGCGAATGCTGTTATCTGATCAAGCAAACAAGGCTTATCAGAACAATCTAAATTACTTTTGTCCAGGTAGCAAAACTGCGGTTCTAGGGGTAAGGACATTTCCTGGGGATCTTGTTGATGTTGCATTATTTTTTTTTTTTTTTTAACTCACCACTTGCTTCCTAAAAGAATGAAGGGGAGAGGAGACAAATTTTTCCACTCTAGTGATATGGAGTTGAAAATTGTTAAAGCAACTAGAAGAAAAATTCTTCCCTTCCTCACCCCTGGCCTTTTCTTTCAGGCCATCCTTATGCCATTTCCTTACATGGCTGAAGGACTAGTAGAGAATACGATAGTAATTTTCTGTGGACTTACAAGATTTATTTGAATGGATAGAGTTATTACTTATCCCAGACTGTAAACTGCAATTTTAAGATTATTGCTACACTTGCACCTGTAGACAGTAAATGAAGCCATACATTTAAGTTAAGTTAGAAATCTTCTAGGGTGGTTCTTGACTCCATTCACTTGTCCTTTTTTTGAGAGGAAACCTGTTGACTCTCCTTGGACAGAGAGCTTTAGACCCTGCATAGTATTCATTCTTCTTAGCCACAAGGAGCATGAACTGATTGCAAAACTGCCTAAGCCCAGAGTTCATTTGGAAGCTGGGTAGCTCCTAAGTGCCTGCATTGTGTGCTTAAGGAAAATAATGCTGGGTCCACACAAAGTGCATTTGTTAAACTGAAGTAATTGAGTTCTGAATGCTCTGAAACAGCTATTCACACTGAGCGTGCCTTCTCATATTACATGATTTTTATTTTGGACATAGTTGAGCATAAAATATTCCTTGCGTTAGAAATGTTTAAGTGGAGTTTCCATATAGCGTGGGGTGGGGGGTGGGACAGACACAGGCTCCCAGGATCTCGTTTAATTTGCTTTATTTATTACAAGTCCAAGATCTGTCATCCAGAGATGGTGGGCGGGGGGGAGGTATTTGATGGGATTTACAAGCTTGTTTTGAGTCTTGGGAATAGAACAAAGCTTACAGCCATTCGTACACACACACATTCACTGTTGCTACCCCCAAACTTTCTGTTTCAGATGTGTCGTTTAAGGAAACAGGGTGCTTGGTGGTAATGGTCATTTTTTGATGCTGTCTAGCAACAGATTCAAATCAGTCTTCTCCCACCTCTGGAAGCAGCAAACAGGAAAACTCCAAGTTCTTACTAGGATGCCTTCAAGGCTTTTGTAACTGAACTTGCGCATAGATACCTTGATAACCAGTGTATTTTGAATTTTTTTTTTTTTGAATTTGCTATCAGTAAATGAGCTTAAAGTGCAACTTGAGTTATGAAGTGAGGGAGAATATCTGTTATCTCGCTTCTTTAAAGGAGATATTTAAATATCTCCTTTAAAGAAGCGAGATAACAGATATTCTCCCTCACTTCATAACTCAAGTTGCACTTTAAGCTCATTTACTGATAGCAAATTAAAAAAAAAAAAAATATAGAAAAATTTTTTTTTTTTTGAATTTGCTATCAGTAAATGAGCTTAAAGTGCAACTTGAGTTATGAAGTGAGGGAGAATATCTGTTATCTCGCTTCTTTAAAGGAGATATTTAAAGATCTGAGCCAAAGGCAACTGCCTCAGAACTCCTCCTGGACTTCTGCCCTCTCCCTCATCCTGACTCAGGACATTCTGCTCTCTGTCCCACGCATCTGGTCATCTGTATGTATGCTTTTGGGTAAATTTAATTTTTATTCTGCTATACATATTTTCTGGCAGACATCGAGATTCCTAGTTCTTTTGCTGATTAGTGCTGATTAGGTAAACAAGTGATAATATCCCTGTTGGGTTAGTCAGCTGGATTTGATGACATATTAAAGATGTTAAGGTGACCGATTTAGGGTAGAACACTCATCTGAGAATTAATTTGGAAACCGGAAAGACTGTGAGTTTTTATGTGTTACTCATCATGTGTTACTCATTTATTATTAAAAAATCAAGTTTTGGGGGGAATCCAAGTCTTGTAGTAAATGAGTTTCTGTGAGTTCAAAGAATATTTTCTGAACAATTGATAAGAATGTGTTCTATATGCATAGGTACCTCCAAATATATGACATTGCTAAAACAATCCTGTGTGCGCCTACCCTAACCCTTCTGAATTAACCTTGGGTTAATTGGCACACTCCCAGGATTGTCCCTTTAAAATTAGTGGAATGTTTCACTGTTTCCCCAACGACATTGTTTGTTTACATGAACCTTTTAGGAATAGTCCTTCACTTTTACTCCTGAGGATCTTTCTCTTTCCAGGGGTAAGAAAAAAATGCAAATACAAAAAATAGAGCAAAGAATGATTTTTAAGTTGTGCACTGATGATGTCCTCAAGCATCATCTCCTGGAATGGGTGGAAAGACATAAGCAAATTCTCCTGCTATTAAGGAAAGTGCAGAATGAAAGCATTTCTCATTGCTTCTGTTTGGGTACTTTGAGATGACCTGGCTTTATCACCCAAGATTAGCTGATTAAAGAGATTTCTTGGGGAAAAAAAGTTGCAAGTGGAACTGAGATAATCTAGAACTTCTTGTGATTGGCAAAGTCAAGGGTCTTGACTTGCTCCTTGATCAGATCTGTATTCCCATCTGGAAACTTGGGCTCAGTGTCTTGTGTTTGATGCTCAAATAGACTACGGTACTCCTCACTTTGGATGATGGGAGTAGGAAGCGGTGCTCATTAGGGAGCATGCTACCTTTGACCTGGGCAAGCAAGTGTAAATGCAGAACAGAACTATGCCCTAGGCTTACGGCTCCTGCTATGTGGCATCCTTTTATGGGTACCTCCCTTACTTCAGGACACATTGTATGTGAGCACTGGAGCGTCATGCCCATCCCAGTGTACCAGGATGTGGCATCCATCCAACAGCTGAGACATACTGACTCACAGAAGGAGCTGTTGCCAAACCTCTTTCATTGATGTTAGGGCTAAATGGACAGTGAAGGAACAGGGGGAAAAAACTTTACTAAAAATTCACCCTTGCAGTTCATTGCTTCTGTCCAGTTTGGTTGACTCATCCCTTCAGCCTTATGTATGAAGTTTTGTGAAGTCTATGAGTTTTTAGGGAGATGGTGTCTTGTGCTGAACTTACACTTTGCCTTCAGTACAAAAAAGCATCTTCTGATATTGTTGGTGGAGAGGATTACAATTAGCTGGGAGGGTTAGAATTTACATGGAATCCAGCCCCAAGGAAACATACAGGCACCTGAATTGTGCCTTTGTTTTTCCTTTAGAGACAATATTAATTTGGGAGAGGAAGATTAGGTGAGGACTAGAGGTGAGATGCCTTCTCCTCCGAGGTGCCATATCTCAACCCAAGTTGGATCCCTTGAAGCTGCCAGTAGTGATAGAAGACCATGAATTTGCCTTGAGCTGAGTCTATGAACTGTGAGAAAAGAGGAAGGGAAGCAGCAACTGCTTTCAGAAATATGTTGTAAGTCTATTCTGGGGGTGACAAATTGCCACCTTTTAAACAATGTATGGTAGCCAATATGTGTTAAACTGGCAAGAATCCATGGCCAATTTTGTATTTCGTCTGTTTGCCTCTATGAATTCTCGTGTTTCCAATCATCTATGTGAGTGTATGTGTGTTTATGTATAATTATTGGCTAGAATACATTTAAAAAGGTAAAGTTGTACTCAGTTGCTATGGAGACTGTATGGTGGTCAATTGGCAGAGCATTAGAGATGTTTTCAAAACTGAAGTTAATTTTTTTGAGGAAATGAAATTAAGCTTGATGTCATTCTGTTTTAGTGCTTTGTGAAGGCCTGGGGAAAGAAACTGGGAAGATTGGGGAAAAACCATTTTCAAATTTGAGAATTTCCCCATCTTTTAAGTAGAAGATATGTTTGGATAAATCCTGATTAAATACTTTAATTATAAGAATGTAAGGCTCCTAAAGGGAAGTTTAAATATTATTTCAGCTATCAGATAATCTCTCTGTATGGCTCCCTATAAATAAGTCAATGAACTGTAATAAAAGTAGTCTGCTTTGAGTCAAGCTTGGTTTCTGGTGACATAAAAGACATGTCGCTGTGGTTTTCTTAACAACAATATGGAAGTGGTTTATTGTTAACTTCTTCCTGGAGGTGAAGTCTAATCAATTTTGTGGTCCTTGTCCAAAATCTCATATGATATCAGGTAGATCCACTGAGGTCTTATTATAGTTGGTCATCTCATGAAATCTTAGATTTCATTTGAATGCAACTGATTTGCCTTTGAAAAATATGCAGTTCAAATCAAGAAACAAGATAGCAAGCAAGAACTTAGTGTATTTTAGTTCCTGTACATGTACTGAAGCCCATGAGGATTCAAAAGAAACGTTCAGAATCTAAAACTGTTGAATTTTCCGGGAAAGTTTTCTTACAAGCATTTGAAAAAGCTTCTTGAAGTTATTGCTTATAATAATACATAAACATAAAGTTTTGGATGACATGATGTCGGTTTTATGTGGTTTTGTTAAAAGGAAGGAAGGAAGCCTTAAAGTACTAGAGAAGGCGAGCCACTTACTTCCCTCCCAATGTTTTGGATGCTATGCTGCTGGAGAAGAAGGCCTTGGGGCAGGATGGCACATGTGTTGCTGGGGATCCCTGTCATGCAGCATCAGAAAACTCTTGTTTCATCCCCATTGGGGATTAAAATAAAGTCTTCTGGAGTTGTGTCAGGGAAGGTCATAGATCACAAGTCCCCTTCTCTACTGACATCACCCCCAAGCATTTTTCTGAGATTCACTAACCCTGACATTTCGGCAGTTAATTCTTCTTATTCTGGGCAATGGGAGATGAAAGAAGGGGGGAAAAACATCTTTGTTCCGGACAGATCATAAGGCAGACTCTCCCTACTGCTGCCACTCCAGGATTGCTCTGCTTGTATCCTTTAGTATTTCCCTTTTATTTTCTTATCTCAACACTTTATTATTTCAGTTTTCCCTAATGCTTTATGCTTTCAGGGGTGGAGGGAGACGAGTGGGGAAGGGACATGACTTATAGAGTGGAATCATCTGACATATTTCTTTCAGCTTACCCTTTTGCCTATTGTGTTTCCTGGCTGCAGGCCTACGCTGAGCCAAGATGAGCTGGAGTTTCCTGACGCGCCTCCTGGAGGAGATCAACCAGCACTCAACCTTTGTGGGAAAGGTGTGGCTGACTGTGTTAATCGTTTTCCGCATTGTCTTGACTGCTGTAGGTGGCGAGTCTATCTACTACGATGAACAGAGCAAGTTTGTCTGCAATACACAGCAGCCAGGCTGTGATAATGTCTGCTATGATTCCTTTGCACCCCTTTCGCACGTCCGTTTCTGGATTTTCCAGATCATTGTAATAGCCACTCCCTCAGTGATGTACCTGGGCTTTGCACTGCACCGGCTTTCACGCCAACCCCCTCGGAAAAGCCGGGCCCCTGTGGTGCGACGTGGTGCTGTCCGTGATTATGAGGAGGCAGAGGATAATGGTGAGGAGGACCCCATGATCTTTGAGGAGATCGAGCCCGAAAGGGAGGTGAAGGAGTCCGAGAGCCAGAAACATGATGGCCGCCGGCGCATCAAGGACGATGGTCTGATGACTGCGTACGTGCTGCAGCTGCTCTGCCGTTCGGCATTTGAGGTGGGCTTTCTGATGGGGCAGTATGTGCTTTACCGCTTTGAGGTTAACCCCTCCTATGTATGCACACGCAGCCCCTGCCCTCACACGGTGGATTGCTTTGTCTCTCGCCCCACTGAGAAAACCATCTTCCTCCTCATCATGTATGCTGTGAGTGGGCTCTGCCTGCTTCTCAATGTCTGTGAGCTCTTCCATCTGGGCTTTGGCGGGATCCGGGATGCACTCCGCGGCCTTAATAAGGAAGATGCTCCACCCCCAAAGCCCCAGTATGCCCAGAAGGATCCCTCTGCACCCCCAACCTACCATTCTCTGAAAAAAGAGCCCTCCAAGGGCCAGTTGGTCAAGGACAAATTGGGCTACAGGGGAGAGAGCTTGGCAGGCATGGCTACCGAGCGCTACCCTGTGGCATCAAGACTCCCCGGCCACGAATTGGAGCGACTGCACAAGCACCTCAGGATAGCCCAGGAGCATCTAGAAATGGCCTTTCAACTGCAGCCGGAGGGTACCGCCAGCCCTTTGCGAAGTAGCAGCCCTGAATCTAATGGGCTGGCGGCGGAGCAGAATCGCCTCAACTTGGCCCATGAGAAGGAAGGGGCAGCTTGTGAACGAACTAGTGGTAAGTGGGGTGAGGAACAGGCTTTCATTTGGAGTTCAGTGCCAGTGTCTTAGAAAAGTCAACCATCGACAAGCAAGAATTGACTATCTTGGCAAGAGCCCTTATTCTAAATCTAAACATGGTTATGCTTAAAGAGCAGTTAGTGTGAATGGTTGCTTTCTTGGGGGCTATTAGGTGTTGGGTCCATTTATAGGCTCTCTGAAGCAAGTGTGCCTCTAGGCTCCCTTGGCTGAGAAGGCTGGCTTTTGCAACATGCCTGAGACAGAGCAGATCAGTCAGATTTTTTTCACCAGATGACCCTTCTCAAGTTGGTGAGTGGCAACCACGTACGGCAAATGAGCCTGGTGGAAGGCCGAATTTGACACTGAGGGGAAACGATTGGAGCGGTTTTGGTAGTTCTTCTGAATCGCATCAGTAATACATACACTTCTCATAATTTCTCTTTTTATTAAAGATTATAATTACAATAGTACTTCTCATAATTTCTCCATGAGGTTTGAACTGCTGGAGCTGTTTTGCCCTTTCCACAGCTGTCAGATTTTTGCTGTTTGCTAGGGCAGGCATGAAAAGTCTGGCGTAGAAAAAAACATGCATGGAAGCTGATGGCTAAATCTCAGCTGCTATATGGTGTGAAGCAGCAGAATAGGAAGAAGATATCCCCAGGGGATTAGCTAGGAACCCCCCAAGAGCAAATGCATGTGTGGGGGACAGAGTCTGTTCATCAGGGATTGGAGTGAGAAACTCTAATGCTTTTCCTCCATTTTATTTCCAGGTCTCTGAAGCGCTGGACAACTGCCCAGGTGGCAAGAAGAAATGGGGGGAACTGAAAGCATGTGCATACGTGTGTTCATTAGCCTGATATGTGGAAGTGCCCTGAGGGAAGAATCGGGAGACAAGGATATGCTCTGATCCTACTTCTGTGGAAGATAAGGGAAAAGAAGATAATATGAGTCCCCACATCCCAGATCTGGGTGGGTGGGGAGGCTGTAGTGATGTACTTTCAGAAGTCTTTGTATGTGTGTCTTTTTATGAGTCCAAAAGGGAAACTTATTTTTTTACTTTTATACATGTTGTAGAGGTACTATTGTTCTGCCTAGGGGGTGTTCTGTTTCTTTTCTCTCTCTCTCTCTCTCCAATGGGACTGGATTAAAAGCGACATAGCAATTGCCCTGCCCCCCCCCCCTTTATATTATTACAGTTTACGTCTTCAACTTCCCAGGATTTTCCTCAGGATTCAGCTGTACACAAGTCAACTCCCTCATTTTCTTTTCCTCTTCCTTGATCCTGGATAATAGAAATGATTGGTGGCTGGGCCAAAGATAATTCTGCTGCATTCCAAGATGCTGGTTTATGAACAGCATCTGCCTTTCTTGCCCTCTGTGGGGTGCTGTGCTCGGTTCCTCCTAAATGGCATGGGGACCAGAGTCACGTTTGAGTCATCTCAGAGACAGACACAAAATGTGTTTTTATGTTTTATTTTTTTTATAATTTACTGGAACAGTTCTGAATTTTTGTTCTTTTATATGGATGTATAATATATACATATATATATTTGGTTAAAAAAAAGATTTTTTATAGCAATCCTGAGGTCTTGACTCTTTTTGCAGGAAAAAAAAAAGAACAAATTAGTAAGAATTTTGCACAGTTGTGGACTTTTAGGATGCCTTGGTTATACTCTAAATCCTCACTAACTGAGAAGCCGAAAGAGGTGGGGATCCCAGCTAATGAGTAATGTAAGGCAGGAGAAGGCACCCTTATTTACAGCTGGGCTGAACTGTTAAAATATTTGGGACTTTCCAATGCTGTGGCAGTGGTGTATGTGTATTATTGGAAGGATAAAGTTAATAATTTTGGGCTATTTCTTTTCCATTAAAAAAAAAAGTAGGTTTAATGCATGAAAGCTTAATGCACCCATTTTAGTCTTGCTTTTTGCAAAAAGCAATGAAATGTACTGTGAATTTTAGGATGGGGCTGGGGTGTCTTGTAAGAAGTGCCTTATCCTGAGTCAAAGTTGTGACCCATTTAACACAGTAGCATCTTTCAGGGAGGGTGTTGCCAAGGCAACAGTATGTAAGAATATAGGCAGTGTCCTGTCAGATAGGACTCTTGGCCCATCTAGTCCAGCAGTCTGTTCTCACAGTGGCCAACCACAAGGAAGCCCATGAGTGTCCCAGCAGATGGCCTTCAGGGTCAGTCATGCTGCCATCAAGGCAAATAGCCACTGACTCTTATGATTTTCATGAATTGGTCCAACCCTTTTCTGAAGTCAGCCAAGCTGGTAGCCAGCACCACATCTCGTAGTAGCAAATCCCAAAATTGAATTACATGTTGAGTTTAAAAAAAAAATCCTCTTGTTTGTCCTGATTCTTCCAGGATTCAGTGTCTTTGGGTGACTTCCCAAATTGTGCTTCCTGACAGTCATAATGATATCAGGGAGGAAGCAGGAAATGGGCCCTGATTGAAAAGCAGCATTTAAACGATAAGGCATCAGTCCAAGATAGTTTACTTGCAATGTTGCTTTGAAATTGCATCTCTGGGTCACCCTCCCTCATAATGATCACCCTCCCTCAGTATGATGCTTCTAGCCAAGAGTCATCTTGAATGTATAGGACCACAACCCCCTAAAATATTAAATGAATTGGTGTGTCCCCCACATGAATAAAACAAATGATTCAGTCAGTCCATCATTCTGCTTCAATACTATTAAATCAATACAGGCTGATGGCAGTTTACAGAACAGTTGATTACTCCATTTAACAGTTAAAGTGTTCATGGTAAAGATTAATTAAAACAATAATTAAGACAAGGATAAATATTAAAAGTGAACATGAAAAATAATTTGTAACAAAAACAATAACAGATAATAAATAATTCAAAGTAAAATAAAGATGGCAATAGCAAACTATTCAACCACAATTCTTTGGAAAAATGTCCATCTTGTGGCTTCCAGAATGTTAGAAGGGATGGTACAAGTCTTAATTCTATGGGGAAGCTGTTTGACAAGGTAGGAGAAACAACTGAGAAACTGTACTTCGTGGTCTTTATTCCTCTCATTTCACAAAAGTGGGGTACAACCAAGAGCTTCTGGGATAAACACATTTGATGGGCCAATCCAGGCAGGAGAAGGTAATCCTGGAGGTACCTAAGTGCCAAGTCATTGCATGTATGGTTTTATAGTGCATCAGCAAACCTACTGGTAACCAATATAGGGCCTGAAGAACAGGTGTAATGTCTTTTGGATGGATAACATCCACTAGTGGCTGAGCCAATGTACTTTGCATCAATTACAGTTTCTGGGTGGTCTTCAAAGGAGCTAATGAGCCAAAAATGAGCCATCTAGAGCTCATTGCCTTAGTCTAGTTGAGAAATGATGAGAGCATAAACCACTATTGTGGGATGGTATTGGGGCTAGGGTTGACCGCTTGCATTAAATTTGTACATTTTAATCTATATATCTTGGGGTTCTCAAATTTTGCAGCATCATAGTTGTCAAATATAGGTTTGCACAGGCAAAGTGAGAAGGAAAGCCCAAGTGTGTTTTGACAATGCCCTACATTTGCTTGTGCAAGCCTGATCAATACTTAAAAGAATTGTGCCCTGGTAAATTGCTAGGGCATCCTCCCCCCACCCCCACCCCAGCGCTCTCAGTTAGACTTAACAGTCTCCCCTCATAGAGTATTATAGGCACATGTGAAACCTAAGTTTGTTTGAGAAAAGGGTAGCTTAGAATCTTGTCCCACATGTTATTAGTTTGGACATTTGTCTCCCTCACTGGCAAAATCTCTCATGGGACTAATACTTGTCTATTTAAGACCAGTATTGGAGATATCAGGGTTAAATAGGGACTTTATTATATAGGTAAAGTATTAGGGAGGTGCAGCATTTCCATCCAAAGTGGCAAACTTGTTTCAGACCCAGTGTAGGCATGCTTGCTGAACCTTAAAGAAGCTGTCTTTTTCCATGGGTGTTTTACTTACTGAGTCGCTTAGAAGTTGGCAACAGGATACAACCATGTGTTTATGCATAGCAAATTTATCATAGTCATTACCCCTCTTTTTTCCTTCAATATATCCTGTAGTGTGAGTAAATGAAAGTTCTGCTAATGCTCTCCTAATTCCCCCAATGATTTGTGTTGCTTCCTCTGCAAGAATTTCTGTGAATTCCCCCAACCTGCTGCTTTCTGGCTGTGTTGGACCAGCCTTTATGCTCCCCAGCCACTGTGGCTGAAATCATGTTACCTGGCAATTATGGAAGTCCAACACATCTTATGGGCATCAGGTTGTGGAGGCCAAGTTGTTGGAACAGTTCTCCCTCACCTTCATAGAGAAGTGGCTGGATTGAGGTACTTGGGCCACATGCAAGGAGAAGAAGAGGTGGAGGATTCAGATTTGTTCAATTCACTCTGTCTTTTAAAACTACCTTGTGAAGGGTAGTCCATAAATCATTTAAGTTTATTATTAAATCGGAACAAGCTAGCAGAGAGAATAGTGCCTTTCCTGAAAATTATTATATGGCAGGGAGAGTGCCTCTGAAGTGGAACTCTGGAAAGAAGTGGGTTTCAGCGTAAGGTCACACTAAAGGCCCTTCTCCTACAACATTCTGTGGGTCACAGTGGCCAGCCTACTGCAAGCATGGGCAGGAGGGTGATAACCCTCTTTGATGGCTCTTCTGTTATTTTTCCATCAACCCCCATGCACCTTTCCTGCAAGGTAAAGACCACAGTAGCTGTGGCCTCCTGGCTGAGAATCTAAACTATAATCATGTTGGGAAGCCTTTCTCATGGCTCTCCCATCCTACCTTCCATCCTTTTTGAGGTATGATGATTAGAACTGTGCATTGTTCGGTGTCCAGTGCTCTTCTGTGCAGCAGTCTTTGTATATTTTGGAGAATAGTCACTGCCAGCATAACTTACCAGAGTTGGGGGCAAGGAATGAGGCAGTGTTGTTACCTACCATGCAGTAAACATACCCCCCAAATCCCTTGTTCTTACACCTGCAACTTTTAATGTGAATAATAGAACAGAAACACTTTTTGGTCACCTTAGAGAAGACATAGGTGGTGTTCACCTGACACACTTCCTTTTGGTTAAATGAACCATGGTTTATTCAAGTGAAACTTCTGGATTCATCCTGTATATTGAGCCATTAAGTACACACGTTGGGTTTGCACTGTATGCTAGGCTGAAATGGGGTTGAGCAAACAGCCACAGAGACCTCTGAAATATCTGGACAGTGACATTCTGCCCTGCCTGCGAAATCTTAAAAGGGAAAAGGAATTGCACCTTTCTGCTCTTTCAACAAACACTGCTTTCTCTGAGCTACGCAAAAATCAATGTTGCCTCCCAAGGAGGGGAACCAAAATGAAAGAACTCTGACTGTATTTTCTATTCATCTGCCTTGGGAGCCATCTATTGACAAAAGCTTGTATTACCTGCAGAACATAACTCGGCTTGAGTACAGTAGCATCTCAGCTAACCCACGGCTGGCTCTCACACTGCTGTGTCTGCTCCCCAGTGCTATTCTTGGAATTTGAGGCCAAATTGATCCTCTGCCCGGCTGCTTCCTTCTCCTCAACAAATACTTTGAAACTTACCTGCAAGAATTTACACTGAAATGCCTACATGAAATCAAGATTGAAACATACTTGTTTCTTACATGCATCATACTGTGTTCCATCGGTTTAGTAAAGTGAGCACTTTAGTAAAGTGAGATGTCCCAGGACTGGCATCTTTTTCTTTTTTTGTAAGATACTGAATAGTACTGAGGGGTTTCTTTTAAGGAAAAAAAAAACTTTATTTAACCGTCACTGTTTTGGAAACATTTCTAATTGGCCCTTTACAATGAATGCTGATTAGGATATAGTTTAACAAAACAAGGGGACTCCTACACTCGGGCCATCTCACCACGTTCTCATTAAGGATACTCGGTAGCTGCAGGCAGGACTTCTAATGGGCTCCAGGGGTTCATCCCATCCTCAGCGCTTGTTAGAGAACCATTGGCCTCTCTTTCAGCCATTTTCATAGTGAAGTTGACATTTCCCTTCATGGGTGGAATGTTTACCAAGTGACAATGTCTACTGGCAAAGGCAGGCATCATCAATTCCTAAACCACGCTATACTTGTTGCACTTAACTGGCTCTTTTCTTGATCAGATACTTCATAAAATAGGCCCACTTTCCTGCTCCCCCAGCATTCTGATAAGAGCTATGGGAATTAGAGATGCTGGCTAGAAAACCCTGCTAGTCCACTCTAACAGCCCCTTCCTATTCCCCAGCCTTCAGTTCACTGGAGAGAGATCAGAGCTGGGATGGCTGAGAAGCCAAGTGTAAGCCCTCTGCTACAAGTTTCTTCTTGCTCTTTGTAGAGCCCCAGGGATAAACCTGTGTCTGAAAGAACACGAGGAAGGAAAGACACAGTGAAAAGGTAGCATGCCAGGACTGAGGATCATTAATGAAAAATGGGCATTTTTTTCCTCAGTTTCTTAAGGGAAACAAACTTGCAGATCCCTAGAGTTCAGAAAATTTGCAGGGCAAGCTAGCTGTGTGAGACACATTCAGCTGCATGATTGGCAAGATAAATATCCTGCCTGTCTGTATGTTTTCCATGTGCATTCTTTCTGCAGATTCTAGGTCCTATCTGGCCTTATGCTGCTCAGATAGTTGTACTATTCTTGCTGCCAATCCAAAAAAAGAGTGTTTGGCTTTTCTGTGATTGATAAGAATCTCTACCACCTCTATTCTTCTCCTCAGATTATGAAACCCCTGAAACTCTCCCTTTTAGCTTTGGAGACCAAGGGAGAATTTCTGGTCCTGTTTAGAGACACAGGTCCAGGACCCTCAGGCCAAACTGTATATGCCTTCTTTTGCTTTCCTTGGGGGCTGTCATCAAGAGGGAATAAATGGAGGAGGAGGAAGACTATTTAATTATATCCCTTCTGTCTGCTGAATATCACCCTCTCCAACCTGAATTTACATCTTAAGTGTAAGATGTGGATCTTACACTTTTTCTGTCATGGGTGGGGTAGCAGCTAAGCAGAGGTACTTTTGAGTGGACAAAACAAAAGGAGAAGATTAAGCAGCTTCTTCACCCCAGTATTGGTCTTCCATTCTGATTGTAGCTTCAGTTAATAAAGTCCAAGGGCAAATGAGATGTAGTGGGGCCTCCAAAACTGGCTGTGAAGGGCAAAGGTGCCAGTCTTCACATTGAGCAGATAAGGCACTGTCTAGAAGTGCTTTGGTCCTGGGTTCATATGAAGAAGATACTTGTTGCTGAGGGTCTAGAGTGAACTGATCTGAGCAAGACAGTAGTTTCCCATCAGGAGAGCATTTTACTGCTAAAGCTGAGTCTTTGCTATATGCAGACACAGTCCTGGGTGAGGATGTTGGGGACTGTCTCATACTTGAAGGAGTAGCCACCATCTGAGGTGGTACGGACCCTCAGAGAGTGCATGGTGCCTGGCAAGGCAGCACAGCACAGCTGGAAGTTGGGATTGTGTGTGAGTGAGTGGATGTCAGAACAGTTCCCATGACAGTAATGAAACACAAAGCTGCTAGGATGCACGATCCACTTGTCCCATCCTAGTTCTTCAAAAGAGATATTGAGGGAAGCACGGTGGCAGTTGCCATGGACTGCAGCATTATCTGAAGGCCGCTGCAGCAAATTGAGAGCAGCTGGTGACCAGGGCACTGAGGAGCGCCGGGCCCGGTCTCGGCCCCTGGGTTTGGTGGTTGCTACAAGGAAGGGCATTTTTTCAGCATCAGCCACACAGGGGCAGCCTAGGCAACGAATAAAGAGCACAAATATATTCCGGGCAAGGTAAGGGAAGAAGGTTGTTCTGAAGTGAAAGACTGTCCAGCCCTCAGGAGCTGGCACTGCCATGGTAGCTAGTGGGACCCGGCCTTCATCAGAGAGCGTCAATATCTTTGCCTCTGGTGTGGAGCTGTTGGAGGCAGTTTCCGAGGGGCTGTTCTGAACTATCACAGGGCCTGTGTAGAACCACAGCTGGGCTGAGGTCACCACACGACTCAGGATATGTATTGAGGGTTGAAAAATGTAGGTGAAAACTCCCTCATCCTCTAGAAGCTCATCCGGTTGAGATGGTTCACAGGGTACATCTGCAAAATAGGAGAGGGGTTAATGGGACGATTGGCATTACATATTGCAGGCAACTGTTTCTCCCAGACTGGAAGAATGGGAAGTGATCCTTGAAGGAAGAAAGAAGGAGTGCTGATGACTCCTTGTAAATGTGCGTTTGTGTTCAACCCTTACTTCAAAGAACTTCCTGCTACTGTCTTGATTTAGACTTATCATTGATTTTGCACTCTTGGGGGAGAGAAAGGATGAAATCTTAAAACATGCCTTGTGTTTGCTCCAGCATTCTTTGACAAGATAGTTGCTGTGTTTGTATATTTCACTAAGCCATCGTTTATTAAATACCTTTTATATAATAAGCCACAATAGCTGAACTCACATCCAGAAAACATTGTGTACAAGCCACGCATTTGGGTTCTCCCAAATGCTAAACCAAAACTGCACAAATCAGATTATGACTTAGTGCAGTTTGTGAACATGCATCATCTCCTTGCTGTCATATAAATTTGATAAATCAATGAATAAATAAATAAGATGTTAAAATGGAAAGCTGATTTTCAAGATGCCCAAGTGCTGTATGAACAATCCCCTTGCGTTCCTAGCCTGCTACACTGAGGCAAGAAGCTGTTTGCAATGAGCATCTGGCCTTCTTTTAGGAAAAGCACAGGTATTCATGTCTGATGCTGGGTGGATCTTAACGTGATTGCTTTAACTGATGAATAGCAATGAAGTTAAAAGGCTACTCCTGCCATGCCCTGCAATAGAATGTTCAAATATGCAAATTAGAAAACATTGGGTGGTACATGAAACAGAGCAGTCAGCTTGTGACTCATCTGAATTTTCCTTTATTTGCCATATTGAATTTTAGCAAACAATTTTGTTCCTGTTCCTGCCTTCTAGAAACCAATTGGTAACTCCATGCTGCCATCTCTCTCTCTCTCCATCTCTGTCTACATCTAGCACCTTTTCTGATTTACACATTTTATTAAAAAGCATAAGCTCACGCCTTTTAATAAAATTTGTTAGTCAGAAAAGATGCTACCGGACTCTTTCTGATTATATGCTTACATGTAACACGAGAGCAAAGTCTTGCACTGGCAGAAACTGGATCCAGTAAAGATATTGCCTGGCTTACTCTTGATGTTTTTCATCTGTTCATTAATACATAATATATGTGTACATCATGCACACCTGCATGTTAATACTAAATTCCTGAGAAAGTGCTGGGCAAGCTAGAGCTGCCAAAACTGGGTTGCAAAACTCTGGACAGCTGCTAGATGGCAGAAAAGAGATGCAGAAAACATAATTCTTTCGTCCTGTAAAATGAAAATCTAGACTTTTGCAGCTCCAATGCAGCAGCCCTAGCAAAGCTGTTACAGAATATGTGGGTGCAAGAGAGATAACATGATCAAAGTTCATATGCTTCCAATGAGCCATTTCTCCCTTTATGGAATTTAGATTCTCTTCCTTTACCCTCCCCATTTTTTCTGCATACTATCATTACATCTCATTTCCTGTTCAGACACAAACCCAGGTCAATAATCTGGATTGCGGAAAGTTAAAGTCTCTTTCAAAGGTATTCCCTAAGGAGGCAATCCTACACATAAGTACCTGCAGAATCTGAAAATAGTGAGGTTTATTTTAGCGTAACAAAAAGCTTAGGTTGCAAGTTCATTATTAAGTCACAGTACAGTGTTACCTGCCTATTCTGAAGTAAGTCCCATTGAGTTCAGTGAAACGACTCTCAAATAAAAGAATATAACACTACAAATTGTGGCTGAAGTAATATGCCTTGTTATCTGGCAGTAAGTCCTACTGAATTCCATTAGACCTATGTTTAAGTAGACAGGTAAGGATTTATCGTTAATTGCATTAAATTCAGTGGGACTTCTGAACAACTAGAGAGAAAACTGGGGTCTACAAGAAAAGTGAAATATTCAGAAACCACCAGAATGCCCGAAAGCTCTGTTTACACTGTGTGTAAACTTTTCTGATCTGGCAGCATCAGCAGGATTTGAATTGCTGAACCTGGCTTAAATTTCTGCTATAGCTGAATTAAAATCAAGATGTGTGTGTGTATGTGTGTGTGTTTGCCTCTGGCATGAAGTTCACTGGTATATGATTTCTTAGAATCATACAGTTGGATGTGACCTAAAAGATCATCTAGTCCAACTAGTCCTGCTCTGTGCAGGATCCATGACATGTGCTTGACTTCTGTCCTTGTCCTTGCATCTTATGAAATGGGTTAGATGATAAAATCAAGTCTGCCCTATCTTCTTTCTTTCTTTCTCTCAGGTACATCAGGATACTTTTTCTTTTCTTTTGGTTTCAACCCACCCAGGACTCCTCCAATAATGGTTCTGCTTACCTTTGGATGGGAAGGCAATCACTTGGGATGTGTCTTCTTCCTCCCAGCTATGAGCAGCTGCTGTGCCCAAGGCATGCCTCCTGTGGAGCCCCCTTTGTCCCCCTTGGGCCTTTTCGCTATGGGGGACAGGACCAAGGGACTCCAGGAAATGTGCTTTGATTCTAGCCAGGATGAGATGCCTGTCAACTTCATCCCTGCTGCAGCCAGCAACAGCAGCAGGAGCCAGCAAGAAGAGCTGCAGGATCAACATGGAGTTGATCATGGGCAAGATGTTCAAAGAGCTCTGGTCCAACATGCGCAAGGGAATAATGGGCAGGCTGTGTGCAGTTCCTGCAGAAAAAAATGTTCTTGCATATGTCTGAGAGTTCAGGCTGAGGCACTGTTCCCAGATATTGCTTGGTAGCTCAGAATGTGTGTAGGGAAGTCCTGCCTTGCGGGTGAGGTGGTCTGGCTCTTCAGTTGCCTCCTGGAAGTCTAACCTACCCAGTTCATTCTGCCTCCTGATTTCTTTACTGAGCCAAGCTGGGGCATGATGGCATTGAGACTGTATCTGACACTGACGCAAATGTCTGCCAGCCATGAATATTATCTCCTGGGCAGCAAAACACAGGAGACGTCTGGAATGCAAGGACAGTGTTGCCTAGGGGACAGGACCTAGAGCAGGGTACTCTGGAGGAGAGATGGAAGTAGTCCCTGAGTTGTCAACACTGAAGCAGTGACAGAGGGGTGATTCTTCTTAGTTTCTCCCTAGACTGTCTGAAATTCAGGGTTGTCAAAGTGCTATGTTCTTGGGGCCTGATCATTCTCAGTCCCAGGCAGTTTTCAATCTAGGTCTAGATCATTCATATAACACCAAATACTATATCAAAGACTCTAGTAGGCAGCTTACAAGTATTTCACATATGTACACAACCTCACACTCTTGTAATCCACACACTACCACTCCCTAGTTTAGCATTCAAAAGGCTTCAGGTTCATTGGAATGACCTTTAAACATATATTAAAAAGGGTATACAAGTTCTACCCTTTAGCACACTGAGTAAGAGTTTAATATGGGTGTTACAAAGCAGTAAAAATTGCCTGTGAATATAATGAGATGGTTACAGGATATTAAAAGCTAACAGACACACATCTTAAGGTTGCTCTTTCAATCATTGCTCTTGATTCTAGAATGCCTCCTAGCCTGGCTATGGAGTATTTAATCCTAAAAGAGAGAAATCTTTGGGTGCTCTCATAGCCCTTTGTCCAGAGGAAAGCCTAAATGTGAAGCTCTCCTCGTACTGTTTCAGATTATTGATTTCTCTAGCTCAGTACTGTAGGACTAACATCCAGTTGCAGAAATCTGGATGACCACTAGATGACACCAAACAGGTATGTTCTGTGAATCTCTTTGCTGCCATTTAGTGTTCTTTTCAGTTTCTGCACTCAAGATACAGAACCCTTACTTACGTCACCAGTATTTCTATACAATCCGATGAAGAGAGGTCTTCCCCAATCTTTTTAATGTGGATCTTCATCTGCAGTATCCAGAGACAGGACCTGGGATTTTCAATAGCTATGACCCTGTCCCCCTTTGTGCTATATAGTTGACTGAAGTGAACTTTACTACCACAGAATCTGCTTCTCAAATGTGGAGGGCCAAACTCCATGACTGATGGCACAAATGTTATGCCGACTTCTCTGTTCAGGAGTCTTCAGAAATGTTAGACATACTTGCTGTAGAAAGTGCTTTTTCTCTGCTTCAGCATTATAAGTTGCTCCTCTTACTCTCCTCCCTTCTGAGTATGGCTGCGCATGCCTCAGCAATGATTAGGAAAAAAGCTAATACATCTCTTCATTCACTGAGTGAGCCCTACCTTTTTAAGGCTTCTGCACAATGCTTCTGTTTTAGGGACTCCATCTGTCAAAGTTAGTGCAACTCTCAAAGCAGCATCTCAATGATAGTTTCAGTCATCTTCATAACTAGGCACAATCCAAATATAGCATTAACAGTTTGGTACAATAGTGTACTACATTTCAGTTAGAGATCACAGCTTAACATGTACACCCTCAACGATCCGGAAATGGAAAGAAAACGGAAAAAAGTGAAATGGTGATTTGTGGATTTGCTGATTGAAAAAGGAGTTGAATATGGGACTGAAGGGATCTCTGTAATGTAAACTGAATGAAGGAGGAGGGGTAATAACTTTATTTGTAACTGCTGCAAAGGAGATCAGAAGTTGCTTCTTTAAATATGTTTTTCTTTTCTTTTTCTTTCCTTAACTGTATTGCTTTCTTCACTTTTTCTTTTATCTTTTTTCTTCTCTAATTTTTCTTTATATATTTTCATGTTTATCTTTTATCTATCTAAAATGTTTCAATAAAAAATATATTAAAAAAAGAATTCTACATAAAGAAGTGATTCTTAAACTACCTTTATGAAAGCCCATAAAAAGGAATGTTTTTAGCCCCTTTTAAAATGTTGATAAATCAGATTCCAGGTATAACCTGGTAGATATTGGTTCCAGAGAGCTGGTTTCAGAACCTTTTCTCATCTACTTGTGGCTATTTTAGCACTAGGATCAAGATCAGGTTAGGGATAAGGCACCTGAGCCACAAGCAGATATTTCAAATCACTGAGTGTGCCTATATCAGGCCCAATGAGTCAGCACCCGTAACTGAAACTGGTACCTTCTCTAGACATCCAGCCAGTGTAGGGACATGTGATAAAGAGAAGGAGGGATGCTTTGGGGAAGATCCAGATCAGTGTAATAGCACCGAACTGGATCCAGATCAGGGGATGGAGAGAGTAATAAAATAAGATGGCCAGCAGAATGCTGGAATAATTCCAACATGAAACAATCAAGTTGTGAACCAGCTGTTTGCTGCCTTGGTGGTGAGGACCTAACAGATCTTTTCAGTAATTCAAGGAAAGTTATGCTTTTTAGTGCATAAAGGAAGACCTTCCTTGACCTGGATTTCTAGGTTTCTCACCACAGAACAGGCCCACAGCTGACAGCCCTGAAAAAAAAAAAGACAGGAGATAGAAAGAGTGGGACAGTTAGTATGAAACACAACCATCTCTAGATAAATGTGATGTATAAATAAATAAATAAATAAATAAATAAATAAATAAATAAATAAAATAAAACATCTCTGTCTTTCTCATGTTCAGTTTGAGATGGGGGGATCTGACCGAGGTCCTTCAAAAGCACTTGCAAGGGGGGGGCATCCAGAATTGGGTCATCCAGAACAAAATAATATATGTAGATATTGTCAGCATAGATGAGATAATTAAACTGAAAAGAAGAAATTAAAGAATTCAAAGGAAGTGTGTGGAAAGTAAACAAAAGGGAACTTACACTGAAGCCTGAGACACCCCCACTGATGAAGACAAAGGTTAGGAGATACAACCACTCCACATAATAGAAAAGGGTCAGAGAAATGAGTAGAACTGGAACCATTGCACTAAAAAAACTCAGATGGGATAATAATATTTGATAGTTCAAGGTATCAAATGCAGCACAGAGATCTAATCAGACCAGCACTGAAGATAGTTTGCCTTGGCCACCAGCTGGTTGTTAACAGTATGAGCCACTTCTAGCTTGGTAGAATATCCCACGCTATAACCATGTTAAATGGGTTTGTGAGATTGTTGATGGTAAGGTGAAGAAGGAATTGAGAGAAAACTATTGTTTCAAGGGATTGAATAAGAATGAAAGGAGAGACACTGGATAAAAACTGAAACATACAGAAGGACTGAAGTATTCTATGCTTTTTTAAACAGAGGATGAAAATAAGCATCTCTTACATGTTGTACAAACTGGTTGGGAACCCTGGAAGTTGTAGTTTAACAAACCAGCTGGAGACCCACAACTTTCCCACCCTTTAATAAATGAACAAGTATAATGTTTTGGACTCATCGGTTTAACTGGGTTCTCTTTATCTAGTTTTAGGACTTGTGTGGAGAACATACCATGTTTTAAGTCATATTGATGTAGAAATACTGAAAGGGTTGACACACTTTTAAGCACCACTGTATGTAAAAAGGACTGAATGTTGCTATATGGGAAAGCTAACATTATCACTAGTGTTCTCCATTTCTTTTACTTTTTAAAGCTGTGTGAGTACTTGCCTACTCTAGAGGCACAGGATGGGAAACTAAGAAAAGGCAAATAATCAGGTGGCAGGGCAATACCCCACAGTGGAAGCAGAGATAATAATCCAAATTTCTCGCAAAATAGAGTTGATCTACATTGGATTTTGATTGAACATGAGAAGGTAGGAGCAGCTTTGTGTTAGATTTTACTGTACTCTAAAATTATGCCACGATGCGGATGGTGGTAAAGTTGCCTTAGGACCTTATTGTATCTGTTCCATCAGGAACTAAGTGTGGAATGATTGATTTGCTGGACACTGGCCAACAGTAATGCCAGGCAACACTTGGGACATAGGGACATGTTTCCACACAACTTTCTCACCTTTTGTACAAAGGAAGGGAAAGAACTTCCCTGAATTCAACAGAACCACAGCAAACAGTAGAATCAATGATAACACTTTCCCCCCAATCTGTACAAGGAAGTATTAGCATTTCAAAACCACGGAATCTGAAGTGCTCTTAAGGAAGATCAAGTTCACAGAATCCAAAAATTCGTAGAGGGCATTAAGCCACTGAGTTCAACCCCTTGCTCAGTGCAGGAATTCAGATGGAAGTATCCCAGACATAGGATATCCAGATGGCTCTCTAGCTTCCATCTGAAGACCTGAAGTCTGCTGCCTCTCTGGGTACTTGATTGCACTGTCAAAGTGTTCTTACTGACAGGTTCTTAAGTTGGTGTTGGATGTTCTGTAATGTAAATCCAGTATTTCATGTCCTTCCTTCTGGAGAACTTTCTTCCATGTGGGATCCTTTTAAGTCTTAAGTAATTTAGTATTATTATATTCCTCTTCTGCCTTTTCTCAAGGCTAATTATTTTTATTTCTTTCAATCTCTCTTCACAGAATTTTCTAGTCCCCTAATCCTCATTGTCTGACTGCAGATTACAGTAGAGTCTTTCTGTAATTTGGAAACCATATGTCTATAACTAATGTGGCTGAACATATAATTAGCAGTTTTGGAGCCAAATTACACTACTGACTTATTCTCAGTTTGCAGTCAATGACTATTCCAAGAATGACTTTTTCACAAGCACATTGATAACCACTTTTTATGTGTGATTTTCAAGCCAGCTATATATCCAGTTAATTGTCATGCCATCCAACCTATACTTAACTAGCTTGCTAATCAGAATATCATGGGGTACTTCAAATACTTTGCTGAGACCAATACATAATATGTTTACCAAATTCCCACCATCTAGTATAGAAATTAACTAATAAAAAATCAGATAAGATTAGTCTTCCAAATCTATGTTACAATACTTTTGGTGATAACTGCATTGTTCTCAAGGTGGTTACAAACCATTTCTTTATAATTTACTCTAGATGTTACTGGGAATTGATGTCAGATGGACTGGTTTTCAGCTCCTTAGATCTTCCTTCTTCCTCTTTTTGATGATATAGATAACATTCACCTTCTCTTATTAGCTATATACATAAGCAGGAAATTGTTGCTGTGTCATCTCAGACTACTTATGAGAGGAAAGATTTTTATGAAAGAAAGATAATATCAGCCTGTTGCAAATATGAATTCAGTTCTAACACCTTGCCTGTCAAAAATGGTATGCCACAAAGGAATCAGTTTAGAAGCATCCTGACATTTTAAATTTGCTTGGTCTGTGGAATTTTTTTGTTCAGGTGTGTAAGTTTTCAACTGCAGCCAGAGGTGACCCAGCTTGAGGGGAGAAAAAGCTATCCTATTGTGCTGAATGTAAAATTTTCCCTTGTTTATCTCTCCTTGCAAGTCCTATCTATTTTTCTCTGGTTATTCTGTTTCTAGAGAAATTTCATTTATGAAGTGTTGACATTTTTTAAATAAATAAATAGCCTGCCCTAATGCTACATTTTGTCCCTGAGCTGAACATTAACAGAGAGCTGCCTAGAAATAGGTTCTTTATGGGGGAAAAAAATGAAAAAAATCCTATCTTGAGGAACAGGGAAAGTAAGTTACAAATAATCCTGGGAAGAATATTTTTGTTATGGCAGCAGTGTGTTTGCTGATAATGTTTGTAACATGAAAAGAAAGTGAAGACTCCAATTTACTGAATCTGTGACAACAAATAACTATCCTTACACAGTTCAGTCTTGCTGAAGTAACTGGTTGTGTGGGGTGTGCATATGTGTGTGAGTGGGTGTGATTTCCACTTCTGTTTTGGCTGACGCTACCTTCTCCTTCATTCCAGTCCTTGGTAATGAAATACTTCCTGCCACTAGTGCAGCTGTGTGAGTTATATTTGATGCACTTTCCTAATCATACAGGGAAGGGACAATTCAGGTGGCTGAGATCTGATGGCAAAGAACCTTCTAGCACTTCACACCTTCCATGCCTGGGGAGCAGCAGTCCAAGCCCAGGGGTTTGCTGCCATTTTTATTACCACTCAATGCAGTGTCATGGAAATAGAGGCTCACAGACTCAACAGCCTGATGTGGAAGATTCATGGTCGATATTGTTATGGGTAGTCCTTAGGAGCTGCCTGGATGGTCAGGTACAGATGTTGGCCTGTTACATTATGGTGTGACATTGAAGACCAGAATTTCAGGCCATTGGAGGCATACTGCAAACTGCTTTGAGGTGGGGTGACCCTGTTCTCCCTGATACTCCCTTCCCTTGAGGTGGGCTAAGCCTGAGGCAGCTTCAGGTCTGAGGGATGCCTGTGTGCGCCTCCCCGCTGGGATCTATACTTAGCCAAATCCCAGCCCCCGCTTATCAGCCCAGCCATGTCATCAGAGAGTATTTTTGGGGACAGCAGCTGCAAGCATTTGTAACGCTTCAGCTTTGCTCCGCTCACAGATGCCTGGGGAGCAGGGCAGAAGGAGACCAGGGTCCTACAGCATGTGAGGGGCAGACAGCAGTCGGGGTGTGTGATGAAGAGTGGGCAGTCAGGCAGCAGAGATGCCCAGACTGGGGCATGGGGCAGGAAGAGATAGAACCATTGAGGAGAACAACAGGAGTCCAGACCGACAAATGACTGAACAGCTGGATATTGTCTGACGGGACCAAGAGAAGCAAGAATCAGGTGGATACACAAGGTTAGTGAACCCAGAGAGAGACGCGGGGGGTTCTGCTGGGAGACCCTTCTCATGCCCCTTACTAGCTTGTGTCCCTGTGTGAATAATGGGATTAGGAAGAAGTAAAGTTATCTATGAGGGTATTCTGGATGCTTCTGAGTGATGAGGGCCATACAATCCTGGTTGGTGAATAATGGAACCAAAGGAAAATCTGGGGACAGGCTCGGAGGTACAAGAGGAAACAGTATGACTACAGGCCTGCCTGATCTGAAGCTTTGTGGGTTAAGACAAACCAAGAGGGCCTCAGAAGCTCAACCTTCCTCTCCATGAAGTTGCTGCCATCCTGAGGGGATTCTCCCTGCACTTTCCTGTCCTTATGTGCCAAGAGCTGACAGGAGGATATTAGAGTCATTCCAGTGAGAAGTAGGGAAAAAGAAGTTTGAGTTCAATCCTGCTGGGATTCTCCCCCTTGCTTCCTCCTGTGTGTGTGTCAGCAGTACACAAAGCCAAACTGACGGTTTAAGATGGAAGATTTTTTTTC